TTAGCAGATGCAGGAATTGAAGGGCAAGAAGGCAGAGAGCAGGAAGCTGATGTAGCACCTGTGGAGCCTCTTGCTTCTCTCCCGGCTTCCATGGGAGAAGTGGGACTATTCCCTCTCCATCTCTTTTCCTTGCTATTTTCTTCCTCCTTCTCTTTAAAGTTAGGTAATAACAGTTCCACCCCATCCACTGCCCTCTGCTCGCTGTCTTTTGCAGACCTCACTCAGTCCCAGGAAATCAGATGACTTCCCATCTCTGTGTCACAAATGCCCTTCCCTTCCGCCTATAAGCCATCACAACCTCCACTTCCTGTGGGAAACAAATACTTAGGCAACACAGAACTTCTTCTCCTGGATTTCTCCTTGGCCCAACTTTTCTGCTTTCGTTATTCCTATTGATATTATCTTGCAAACCGTAGCAGCTTACAATTCACAGGACTTTGTTTTCATCCTACCTGCCCACTCATCCAATTCCTGTACAAGTTTCATACATAATTTCTCTCACATTTGTTTCTTCATGCTTTTTTTTAAAATTGAGATAGGGTCTTGCTCTGTTGCCCAGGCTGGAGTGTAGTGGTACAATCAGGACTCACTGCAGCCTCGACCTCCCAGGCTCAAACGATCCCCCCATCTTATCCTCCCAAGTAGCTGGGACTACAGGCGTGTGCCACCACATCGAGCTAATTTTGTACTTTTTTATGAGACAGGGTTTTGCCATGTTGCCCGGGCTGGTCTCGAACTCCTGGGTTCAAGCAATTCATACACCTCAGCCTCCCGAAGTACACAGAGCCAGCCTGTCTTTTCATTCTTAATTCAGACTCCAGTCAGCTGCCAGGTCCTTCCTATTCAACCTTTGAAATATCTTATGAGTTTTTTGTTTTTGTGGGATTTTTTTTTTTTTGAGACAGAGTCTCCCTCTGTTACCCAGGCTGGAGTGCAGTAGCACAATCATAGCTCATTGCAGCCTTGAACTCCCTGGTTCAATAGATCCTCCCACCTCAGCCTCCTGAGTGGCTGAGACTACAGGCACACCACCACACCAGCAGCAACAGTATATAGACCATTTGGGATAAAATGACCATTTGTCCTATTAATTTGGGAAGAGACTCTGAAAGGATTCACATTGCATGTGTACAGGAAAGAGTAAAATCCTAGATGTGTAGACATGTCCCTGGATATGAGAGACAAAGCTAAGAGTGAGTAGAAATGATTAATTCAACCACTGTTATGTTAGAACACCCCAGGCAAAAAGAAGAGAGCTGACCCTGGGACCAAGTGAGGTAAGTAACAGAAACCCGTGTTCCCAGGTCAACCTGTCCAGGAACCTGGCTGAGATGGTGATTGATACCAGGCCTAGGCTAGAAATGAAAGGAGCTTTTTCTTTCTTCTTTGTCTTGTGTTTGAACTTTTTTTGGAGCAAAAACTAGAGTGTGGCAAAAAACAGAGCTGTGGTTTTCGACCAGGGCGATTTAGCCACTCCCCAGCCCCCAAGAAAATTTGGCAACATCTGCAGTCATGTTCGGTTGTTAAAACTAGAGGATGGAGCCCAGTGTGGTGGCCTGTGCAGGTAGTCCCAGCTTCTCAGGAGGCTGAGGCAGGACAGTTGCCTGAGGCCAGGAATTTGAAGCTGCAGTGTACTATGACCACACCTGTGAATAGCCACTGCACTCCAGCCTGGGCAACGTAGTGAGACCTCCATCTCTTAAAAAACAACAACAAACAAACAAACAGAAAAACTAGATAGTGCTACTGATATCTAGTGGGTGGAGAGACCAAGGATGTTGCTAAACGCCCTACAATGTGCAATTTAGTCCCCTTCTACAAAGATTATCCAGCCCCAAATGTCAGTAGTACCAAGGCTGAGAAATCCTGCTTGAAAAGAAAAGGCAAGAAAACACTTGGCAATAATGCTATTGCATGGAAGAGAAGGGAGTGTGGTATCTGCTGTATTATTTGTCCATTGTTTCACTTGCCCGTTGAGATGTTAGTCTGAAAACTCCTCTCTGTGAGTCTGGAATCTGTCAAGTAGATTAAGCAGGCCAAAGGCTTTTTATCAGTAATCAGTGTTTTTGTGCATTCTTGAAAGGGCAAGGGTTGTCATAAGAAAGAGCAGAAAGCACTTCATGTAAATCACACTTTTTTTTTTATGTAATCCCAGGAAGCTTTTAAAAACTAATTTCATTAAATTTAGTGGTGCAAATAGCCAGGTGATTTTTTTTATTCCATGGTCAAAGCTAGGGAAATGAGTCAGGGTGGTGTGAGGTGTGAAGAGAAGATAAATAACAGAGCTTCTCTCTGGCTTTGCTTTTTATAGTGTCAAGATTTTTTTAAACGAAGTGAATCCCTTTGTATTTGTCCTAGTATTCTTTTGTGTTTGTCCCCAGGCCTTAGAGTGACTTCCCGGTGCAAGGTTCGTTGGCATCGTTATGTACCTATGACACTGACCCCACTGTTTATTTTCCAAATATTAGGTACTTTGGGGGAGCATGACGAGGGAAGCCGTGTTGTGACTGCCCATGAGGGTGGGTGATCTGGCTGGAGGTCAGGATGGCTGTGAGGTCACCAGATCCCCTAAGGTGCTTGAGGGAGGAAGATCAGTCCTCCGTGAAGAATCAGATGGACTGGAAGTAAAGGCAGAGAAGCTAAGCATGTATCTTGGACAGCTTTCTTCTCCTCTTTCTTTCTTTTTAAATATTTTTTATCATGACTGACTGAATTAGTGAACTCGATTTTTATGAGCTGCTTCACAGACATGCAGAGAAAAAACAGCTTGGCAGGAGTAGGGAAAACAGGAAGGGATCTAAAGTAAATACCACCCTTGCCTGCAGTTTAGTTGTTGACAAAAAACAAACAGTTTTCCCTGAGAAGCATGTGTAATGTGTCAGGAAGAAAAAAGAGCAATTAGCACTCTTCTTACAGAAGATCTTATTGATAGCACTGTATTAATTTTGATCATTTAGGTTAAAATGCTCTTCTTTTTTTTTTAACTACTGGTCAATAAACTATGTATTGGATGTTCACCCATGTCATGCTTTCCAAGGAAAGCATAGTTTCTTGGACCTCCCAACTTCTAGCAATGAGGTTTCCTTGATGACATCTCCTGACTGTCCCACAGATCAGCACTTCCTTTACACTGATTCTTACTGTTTGTTCTGTCTGCATGTCTGTGTATCTGTTCGCCTGCCTGCCTATCTATCATCTATCTATCTATCTATCTATCTATCATCTATCTATCTATCTATCATCTATCTATCTATCTATCTATCTATCTAAAGTTTCCTACATCTGCTGTAACAAGCTGCCACAAAGTTGGAAGCTTAAAACAACAGATATTTATTCTCTCATGGTTCTGACTTCCAGAAGTCTGAAATCAAAATGTTACTCTGGCTGTGCTCCTTCCCAAGGCTCTAGGGTAAAATGCTTCTGTTCCTCTTACAGTTTCTGGTGGCTCCAGGGACTCCTTGGTTTGTGGCTGCATGACTCCAGCCTCTGTCTCTGTTTTCACGTGGCCTTTTCCACTGTTGCTCTGTCTCGTCCTCTTCTGTGTCTTATTAGGATACTTGTCACTGGATTTGGGACCCACCTAGATGATCCAGGATGATTTCATCTTGAGAGTGTTGACTTAATCACATCTGCAAAGACCTTTTTTTTTTCACAAATAAGGTCACATTCACATTCACAAGTTTCTGTGGTTAGGATTTAAATGTTTCTTTTAGGAGACCACCATTCAACCCACTACTCTGTCTGTCCATCATCTATCTGTTCAACTCTCCAAATCCTCTTTATTTTTTGTTTTCCAGAGTGCTGAGTACACACTAGTTACTAATCATTATTATTGTTAATTTGAAAATGTGGCCTTATTTTAAAGTGATGCAATTTATTTTCTGGGCTAATTGTCCCACCTTGTTTCAAAGATGTTCTATCATTAACTCTGAGCAATACATGGACGTAGACACTCCACCCTTACAAAGCATATGTGTTTCAGACTAAAGACCCAACATCTAATAGTCACACCTAAATGACAAACAGTAAATTATACCGTTATTATAACTTGTAAGATGTCTGTTTTTCTGGGTGTTCCTCCTTGGGCTGCAGTTAACTTCCTGTGTGGTCTTCCCTACACCTCCAGCAAGATGCAAATGTCTCTGTTGAATTGACTGTATCTATCCTTGATTAATGTATGTATTTTAATGTATTTTAATTATTTTAATAATTAATGTATTTCTCTCTTCCTAGAAGAGAGAAAAGCAATTGGTCAGAGCTTTAAAAATAGAGGGAGAGGCCAGGCACGGTGGCTCATGGCTGTAATCCCAGCACTTTGAGAGGCTAAGGCCGGTATATCGCCTGAGGTCAGGAGTTCAAGACCAGCCTGGTTTAACATGGCAAAACCCCATCTACTAAAAATACAAAAATTAGCCGGGTGTTGTGTCAGTGCCTGTAGTCCCAGCTACTTGGGAGGCTGAGGCAGAAGAATCTCTCGAACCCAGAAGGCGGAGATTGCAGTGAGTCCACATCATGCCACTGCACTCTAGCCTGGGCAACAAGAGTAAAACTACATCTCAAAAAAAGGGAGAAAACCGTAATATTCAGATGTTTGTTCTTATTTGATTTGCTGAATTGAGTAAGTTACAGAGCAAGAACAGACATTTACCATGTCCTCTCTGAGTTCTGGAAACAACTTGGTAGAAAGGAAGGGCACATGTGAGTGGTAAGAGACCTTGGTCCAGAAACCTAGGCTCCAGCTTGCAGGCCAAGGCCTGGCCCTGCTGCCATCTGTGTGACCTTGAACAAGCCCCTGAATCTGGGCTAAAACAAAAACTGAAGTCTCCTACTGTTTCAGTTATCAGATTCAGTTTTCAAACTATGATCTGATGTGCCGTGCAAACGTGCTCTTCTCTTCCCTGACACAATTTTCATGGTTTTTCTCTGTGATTAGAAACTGGATCTGGCTTGGAATTAAGAAATGGTGGTGTTTTTGTTTCTCTTCATTCACCTACTTGCAGCGGAAAGCTACAAGGAAACACAGATGGTGAAGATTAAAGAGGAACCCATGGAGGTGGACATCCAGGACTCCCACGTCGCAATATCACCCAACCGGAATGTTGGCTACAGCACTTTAATCGGGCGAGAGAAAACCGAACCCTTACAGAAGATGCCAGAGGGCAGAGTACCCCCAGAGAGAAACCTCTTCAGTCAGGATATCTCTGTGAAGATGGCTTCCGAGCTCCTCTTTCAACTGTCAGGTATGTTTATGTACAGAAAAATGTCAATAATTGGAAATCATTGAAGGAAAACCCTTCTAACACAGTTTTTTTTTAACAAACAACCTGAATTACTGAATTTTTTAGACAGAAATCAACTTTATTGCTTTAACACACGTATGTGCCACCCAAACTAACAGTTAATAAAGTGTTGCCAAGCAGAATTCCTGCCAAACTTTCCCTAATAAATAGTTAAGAATCACTCGAAATTAAAACTCTTTTCAATTCTGCGCAAATGATTCCTGTTGACTGGGCTAAACACCTCACCTCTAATTTTGTTGAGGGAGTTGATCTGATTAGCAGCGTTTTGTTTTTGTTTGTTTTTTTTTTTTTTTTAATGTGTGAAAGATAAATTTCAATGTATTCCAACAGTGACTGAATTATTATGACTTCCAAATTAGTGTGGTCTGAATTAATGAGGTTTTATTGTATCTTGCCAAAACAGAAGCAAAACAAAGGAGGAAAAAGCAAAAGATGAAAGTATGAGAACTATTTCCAGCCATAGCCTTAGAAGGACAGTTTTTGTAAGCCAGCTTTTCGTACTGCACATACTTACAATTGAAAAGTGCAGTAATTACCAGCTCAGTGAAGTGTCGAGATGAAATAAAGATTGCAGTACCCAAGTTGTTCCTTTTGTCATCTCTTTCAAGCCACACACCACTTGTCCCTAACAAATTTAATATGCTTCTATTTTTTCCACGTGCTTGAGGTTGATGGTATATACATATATAAGATGCAGATAGAAATACATGCAAATACCTTGTCCAAAGCCAAGCACTGGCCTAAATATTAAGGTTTATGAATCAAGAAAGTCTGTTACTAATGTTCGACAAACTCTGTTTTCTTATGGATACCAAATATAAAGCATCCATAAATTCTCTCGTAAGGAAGATACCAGGAAAGAGGGGAAAAAAAGCTAAAATCTGTCTGTCACCATAATAGTTCACCTTCTCATTGACCTGGCAACATAGCCCATAGCTGTGTAATAATCAGATGGTGCTGAAAACAGTGGCCTCCAGGTCCTCAAACAAGGACTGTGTTTGTGCAGATCTCTGCAGTAGCTGAAATCACCAATTCTGTAAACTTAATAGGACCCACAGATCTTTGCAAGCTCCAAAACATGCTAGTTTTTCTTTTTTGAAGGATGAAGCCTATTTTAAAACAATATAACTTTAATAATGATTGAGGGGTTAAAATTTGCAAAAGTGAGACCTGCGTGGTTCTTTTCAGAAAATCTGTCTCTAAAGCATATGCTGTCGCAGTCTCCTATCAGCTAAAAACTTTGTGTCTGAGCGTTTTCACCCTGGCACTGTCACTGCCTGGGTGACCTCAGACAAGTCATTGAGCCCCGATTTCCTGCTCTCTGAAAGAGTACTGGCTGTGAATCCAAATTCCCGCTCGTTGTCATTGTTAAGTGGACAGAAAGGAATTGTCCGTGCACACACGCACGCAGTAGCTTCAGACTAGTAGTACAGAGTGCGAGACAGGTGTTGCAAATCTTTGTTTAAATTTTTCCAAAAATCCACAAGATTAAGAGTTTTTCACTTGCCCTGCTATGAAAAGATCGCAAGTTAAGTCTGAAACTTTTACAGAGTTGGCCAGGTTTTTTCTGGATATTAAAAGAAGCCATTGACAGTTGTGACCGTCAGGGTAGGATCCTCACATTTGAACTGGATTGGGAAGGCCAGAGTTCAACTTTTGTGTTCTTGAAAGCTCATTAAATAATTTCTGGCAGCTGATAGATATAGACCTCAAGCCACAGTAAGGGAGGGTCTACCTCTTCTTGTCTAAATGATATTTTTGTGTCCCTTATGACATTTATCAGAATAAACGCTGAATGACTTCAGCACCAAGAGGTCTTAGGCTGTTTTTATATCCCCTCTCACAAAGGGGCCTCACAATGCAGAATGCTTAAAGGTTGTCATCAAAGTCAGAGGCGGAACAGTTGCAACAACTGCAGTTTTCATGCTGAATCAGAGGAAAGCAGAAATTTTCAGCTGGGGAAAGATACAGTGGAAATAACTGTCTCTGCCCATAACTCTGTGTGTGTGTGTGTGTGTGTGTGTGTGTGTGTGTGTGTGTGTGTCTGTGTGTCTGTGTGTGTCTGTGTGTATGTACTTACTAAGGCCTCATTCAGATCAGACCACACGCTTGATATTTGTTATTAACTGTTTCTCTTTTATTGGTTTTTCTTTTTTTTTGAGATGGAGTTTTACTCTGTTGCCCAGGCTGGAGTGCAATGGCAAAATCTTGGCTCACTGGAACTTCCATCTCCTGGGTTCAAGCAATTCTCCTGCCTCAACCTCCTGAGTAGCTGGGACTGCGGGCATGCACCATCACACCCGACTAATTTTTGTATTTTTAGTAGAGATGGGGTTTCACCATGTTGGCCAGGCTGGTCTCGAACTCCTGACCTCAAGTGATTCACCTGCCTCGGCCTCCTAAAGTGCTGGGATTACCGGCGTGAACCACAACACCCATCCTGATTGGTTTTTAATAAAATATTTTTACGGATACTATTGACATGCTTTCAATGATTGTCTTTTCCAGTAAGTTGGGGAGGATCTGGATGTTTAAAAAATCAAAAGAAAACCACAAAGAAAAAGAGAGATGTTGAGCATTTTCTGTTTAAGGCTAAGAGATGCAAGTTGAGTGAGAACAACCTAAGAGGTGTATGTTTCATTCTTTCTCCTTACAGAAAAAGTGAGCAAAGAGCACAATCATACAAAAGAAAATACCATCCGGACGACCACCAGGTAGGCCACTTTGTGTGGGGTTCCTCCAGAGCACCCAGTGTGGGCCACCAGCCTGTAACACATGTTGAATGTTGTCCCCAAACCGCTTTCTCCCACCGGGTTCAAAGGAGTCACACCCTTTACACCATTTTCTACCAGGATTTCTCAGATGATAGAAACAATACAGAAATAAAGGAGGAAGACCACTAATACTTACTAAACATTTAATAGATGCACTTTTCTGGGAATTTTCCATACATTATTGTTTTGTATTCCTGACAGTAATTTTGGGAAGTAGATTATCATCCTCTATGTGGAAGTCTCCTGGCCTGAGAGTTGAGCTGGGTGGCTCAACTGGGACTGGAGGCGGGGTCTGTATCTCATGAAGGCCTCCTTCTGTCTTATTGCAACCCTGCTCCTAATTGCCTCTGTGACTATAGGCTGATAATTTGTCACCAAGGATATCCCAACTCTTTTTTTGGCCTCCCAGCATTATTTGGAAGGCAAGGATTTTAAAGAAAACCTAGGCATTACCATTCAGGACATAGGCGTGGGCAAAGACTTCATGACCAAAACACCAAAAGCAATGACAACAAAAGCCAGTATTGACAAATGGGATCTAATTAAACTGAAGAGCTACTCCACAGCAAAAGAAGCTATCATCAGAGTGAACAGGCAACCTACAGAATGGGAGAAAATTTTTGCAATCTATCCATCTGACAAAGGGCTAATATCCAGAATCTACAAAGAACTTAAACAAATTTGTAAGAAAAAAACAACCCCATCAAAAAGTGAGCAAAGGATATGAACAGACACTTCTCAAAAGAAGACATTTATGTGGCCAACAAGCGTATGAGAAAAAGCTTACTATCACTGGTCATTAGAGAAATGCCAATCAAAACCACAATGAGATACCATCTCATTCGAGTTAGAATGGCGATCATTAAAAAGTCAGGAAACAACAGATGCCGGAGAGGATGTGGAGAAATAAGAATGATTTTACACTATTGGTGGGAGTGTACATTAATTCAATCATTGTGGAAAACAGTGTGGCAGTTCCTCAAGGATCTAGAACCAGAAATACCATTTGACCCAGCAATCCCATTGCTGGGTATATTATACCCAAAGGATTATAAATCATTCTATTATAAAGACATATGCACGTGTATGTTTATTGCAGCGCTATTCACAGTAGCAAAGACTTGGAACCAACCCATCAGTCTTAGACTGGAAAAGAAAATGTGCCACATAGACACCATGGAATACTATGCAGCCATAAAAAAGGATGAGTTCATGTCCTTTGCAGGGACATGGATGAAGCTGGAAACCATCATTCTCAGCAAACTAACACAAGAACAGAAAACCAAATACCACATGCTGTCGCTCATAAGTGGGAGTTGAAAAATGAGAACACATGGACACAGGGAGGGGAATATCACACACCGGGGCCTGTCAAGGGGTGAGGGCTTAGGGAAGGGATAGCATTAGGAGAAATACCTGATGTAGATGATGGGTTGATGGATGCAGCAAACCACCATGGTGCGTGTATACCTATGTAACAAACCTGCACATTCTGCACATGTATGCCAGAACTTAAAGTATATTTTTAAAAATTGCGAGAAAATTTATATCATTCATTCTGTGGGCAAGGGAGTTTTCCACTTGCCAAAGGCAGTCTGAGGAGGTCAGCCAGTGTGGACTGCCCACCATCCATCTGCCACTGTGAAAAGAGGAGGACAGGCCAGTGCTGCTGCTCCCATGGAACCTTGAAGTCCACCCAAACCTGAAACATTGTAGGCGAGAGCCAGCAGGTGAAAACCCCAACACCGCAGAAAAGGAGCTCGGGGAAATGCATTCTCCCCCTTTGAAGGACCATTCTCCACCTTCAAACCTCCCTCTAGTTTCTGAGTTAGCCCAAGATATGAGCTTTACAGGATGATCAAGAGCAATATGAGTTTTTAGGATGAATAACTAGGAACAGTGGGAACTAGCCGGTAGCTACCAAGGAGTCTTTAAATCAAGGAACTTTGCTTTCCTGAGCAAACAGAGAAAGATTCTTCCTGCTGGGAACAGTTGCTGGGTTTTGTGTTTCTAATTATTGCGACAAAAGGGAAATGATATTTTTCTTTTTGATGTGTTATTAGCTGACCTCAGAGCATCATCAGGCCTGTGGACAGTACTGTTTAAACTTTAACCTGAGGTTTTAAAATAAAAATTCCATTGATTGGAGTTTAGGAATATCAAATTTCAAACAGTAATTAAAACAGAGCCAGCTTGCCTCACAATGGGTTTATTTATTTATTTTATTTTATTTTATTATTTTGAGACAGTCTCACTCTGTTTCCCAGGATGGAGTGCAGTAGTCCTGTTTTGGCTCACTGCAGCCTCTGCTTTCCAGGCTCAAGCCATCCTCCCACCTCGGCCTCCCGAGTAGCTAACACTACAGGCATGTGTGCCACCATCCTCTGCTAATTTTTGTATTTTTTTGTAAAGATGGGGTTTCGCCATGTTGCTCAGGCAGGTCTCAAACTCCTGAGCTCACGCAGTCTGCCTGCCTCGGCCTTCCAAAGTGCTGGGGTTTCAAGGGTGAGCCACAGTGATTGGTTCACGTTAGGTTTATATAGATTAGGGAAAGGAACCTCGTTCTAATAGAACAGAAAAGTGGTATGTCTTGCCACTCTTAGTCTTAAGTCTTGTGTCTGTATATAAGTACACAGATAGAAAATGAGACTAGGAAGATGGACTGCAGATTGTATTGGGAAATGGCTTTGGGGAGATGGAAAGGCTATTTTGTATGTTAAATAGGAGATGTGAGCTCCCATAGAGTCCATCCTGCCTCCTCCTACATCTAATCTTAAGGCTATTTAGTGTATCTGCTTGTGTCTGTGGATCTAAACATTGATGAAATTGGCCAGGTTAGCAGTCCTTGAAAGACAGCAGACTAAAAATAATAAATGTTCATTTTTATTTGCTGCCATAGGATTCTTGTCATAGGTTAAGTCCCCTAGAAGTGGAGATTCTCATGGAAGTGCTTTATTGAGGAAATACTCCCAGAGGAACCTGCAGGGAGGTGATGGGGGCAGAAGAGGAAAGGAGAAGGAGAAGGAGCTGAAAGCAAGGATGTGGTTTCAGCTGGTTTCTAACTTCAGCTCCATCCCCCAGGGAGGTTCACTAGCTTCAGGTCATCCCCTGCAGGGCATGTATAACCTCCCGTGTGATTGGGTTCCAGTGGGGACAGTGGTTCTCACTTATAGTTATTAGGCAACACTTATAGCAACTCCGGGGTGGGTACACTAGTGCCGGAAGGAGGATCTGGGCAGGACCCCAATAGCATGATCGGTGGAGGTTTCTGCTGACCCTTTAAGCTTACGTAACATTTCTACAACAAAAAGATGTGCTGCAAGACCGTATTATTTTATGCTTTTCAGGTGTTCTCTGGGAAGATGTAAGAGGAGGCCTCAAATTGGCCCCATACAAGGATTTTAATGTGCCTCAAGTCTAAACTGCCTTGGCTGGAGCTGAAGCATAATTATAGGATAGAAGAGAAAAAAAAAATTTTTAGCCATTTGGCAAAAATGATGCAATCCTTAAATTCTCCTCTTGCTGGGAGATTATGAGTAAGAGGAAATCCGAATTAGATCTTTTGCCCAAAGCAAAGGAAGAGGTTCTTCCTGTGAGCCCTCGGCTTGATATGGTGTATAGAAATCAGTGTTAAGGAATTCTTGGCTTATAGTTCTACAAAGTCCTTGGTGTGTGTGTGGTTTTTTTTCTGAGTAGAGGCAACTTGCTCGATTAGCCTATCCACAAATAGATCTGTTTTTTACCTCTTGCCTTATTACTTTAGGTGGAATAGAATCAAATTTTTTTATGCCAGGAAATTCTCTTTAACCTGAGTTAACTGATATCAGGAACAGAAAAAAAACTGCCAACTTTCTTTCTTCTTTTCTGACTCCTGTTTTAGAAGGAACCGTCACTTTGCATGTACAAGATCAGTGTGTGGATTATGCTTTACGGTGTGATTTGTGATACATTTCAAAAAGATTTACATCAAGCCTCTGAATTTCTGTATCTTCAGATTTTTAAGTACTTAATGGAATGTTTATTCAGTAATCATATCCTCTGTGTTTGATTTCTTAGAAGAAACTGACTATTCAGAAGGATGGTTTGTGATTGGAATCAAATTCAGAATTTTTCGCTCTTTCAGAGTAGCTAGGTGTATTTATGCTAGTTTAATTTGTAAAGGGTAGGCCTGGTATGCAGGCCTCACTGAGATCAAGCCTTCCCTTGCCTTTCTCATGCTGGTGAATGCCTATGCTCCTCCACTCCCTGCCATCTCCTCATCCTAGTGTCTGGATATCCAAGGGCAGTGGTGGAGAAAAGAGACACAAAATGGAAGAAAGGAGCTGACTCCATCCCTGCCTTTTATAAACCCACAGCTTCCCTCACAATTGTTTATCATTATTGATCTTGACGCTCATTTCAACTGCAAGAACTAATGAAAAGTGTAGCAACCCGAGAGGAAACAGCCTATAGCTTGGCATTCCAATACGCGTGCTGATACGAAGTCCACGGATGTGTGCTGTTAATTCTTTATCCCATCAGCACTGGTGACTGCACTGTCCTCATCATCAAATCCTCCCTCCTCACACCTGTCCAGTGGCAACTCTACTCCTTGTTAATACCTCTATTATATGATGGGTAGATAAGGAGTGTGAAAATGATGGGAAACAGCATTCTTTGTTAGTGATTTTTTTAAGGGGTTTAAGTGAAGCTAAAGGTTCACACTAGTAACTATCAAGTTTCTGGGTTACTGGTTTTCTACCACATTTTTAAAAATTCTTATAATGGAAAATTTCAAACATATACAGAAGCATCTGTCATCCAGTTTAAACAATTATCAAGTAATGATTTATGATGTTTTATCTATCTTCCCCCTCAACTTCCCCCTCCCTGTAGATTATTTTGAAGCAAATCCCAGACATCATTTTAAGAACTGGTTTGAGAATGCTCCTTTTTTTTTT